TAATCAAAATTTCGTTGAGCAAAGTTAATCAAAGAGTTTTGTTAGGAGATCACCGAAGTGCATTATCACAGAAGCGCATTATCGTCGAAAAATGAGATTTGCAATAATTTTAACGCTTAATAACATTAAGTAAATGAAACACAAAAAAAATATTTTATATTTCACTGAAATTATTAACACACCTCAGATAGCAGAATAATTCAAATATGTGTGACAAGGATCAGAATAGTACAAAAATAACTCGTACGCACCACTTCGTCTTCCGTAAGTGGCCGTCCATCACTTCGCTGCACATATTTCAGCTTCTCGCAGTTTCGATCGAGAACAGGGACAATATGCGCACGTTGTGCCTCACTAAAGCTGTGTCGGAAACCAGCATCGATCGCGGGCGTTACGGTGGACCCATAATTCTCCGGTACACGACACTCCCGGGCAACAAAATGGTTGGGATGCAGCGCGCGTCGGGACAGATCCTTCTGGTTCGGCGGAAAGCGCACCTGAGCGCGTGAGTGTTTTAGAAACAGGCACTCTCACATTGACATACCCGTATCCCATAAAAAATATCGCCTAAGGCTACCAAGCCACTAGACTTCGTTAACCACCAGTAATACGTACGCTACAGAAGCACCAGGTCAGAGAACTGCGAAGACTGTTTCATGAAAAAAGCCAAAGAACGACAAGATCACTCTCAACAGCATGTGTATCGATACCTGGCAGGGGGGTAGCACCTCCATTACTAATCGGCCATTTATTTGGATCTCGACCACCATCAGCCCGCTTTGGAGGGGATTAAGGACCGTACTCCGCAGTCGACCAGGATACCACAGCCACGGCGCACCTGGATGCGCGCGACACAGCGCTTGCACGCTGGCATTCTCCCTCACCGCGGGACTGCTGTGCAGTTCGTCACGCCAACTGGAATACTCACTGGTGCAATGGGCAACGGAAGCGTCGAAGATGTTGTCGTAGCTGACGAACTGCGCTCGCTGTTCGCTGCAGTGGAAATCCACAATCAGACCGTTCTCTGCCACATCGATCACTTCACCGTGCTGGAAGAGTCCGCTCTCCGTCAGCACATCCACCGAGCTAAGCTGGTACACGGGTTCGTAGCCAAGGAAGTGTTTTCCTCCATAAAGCTGCATTCTCAGCTAACGAATAACGACAAAAGAGCCACAGGCAAATTTAGTAGGGGAAAGTGTGGGAATGATGCACATCGCAAATTACAAACCGAAAACGTAGACGGCAAGTCGGCAACGTTAAATAATTCACAGAAATTTGATCCATTACTCTACCAGTACCGTCACTCAGCTCATAGCTGTAATAATGGAGAGTACTGGACTTAAGTTTCAGCTGTGTCTATAAAGACAGTAGGCAAGCAGTGCCAAGCACAGTACGCTATCTAGCAAACAATCTGCTACTCACCATCAATCGGTAAACTAGTGTAATAATCTGTAAACAACTAGCCGAATAAAGCGAGAGCAGACATATTATATATAATATGTCTGCTCTCATAAAGCAACCGCAAAGTACGGCTGTGTTTTTTTTGCTTCTTTGCCAAGCAGTCGGTATATCTGCAGGCTTCAGCAAAGGGCGGTTGTGCATTGCGCAGGCTTGCCGCATCCGATAGCGCTGTTTGATCGTTCCGTAGCCGGCCATCTTCTTCCGCTGTGGCCGACTTACTGACCTAAGGCGTACAAAATAGCTTCAACCGTTCTAATAATAATTTTGAATTCGATGCCATTTAACTGAATGATTTCTATTAACCGCATGACTTCTGTTTTGATGTTTTGCAACGGATGTTAACACCTTTGTACCTACAGTCTGTATTTGTAAATCGTAATTAAAATTTTCAGTTTTGGGAAGTATAAAAATATTTCCAGCTAATCACTACCGGCACAATTCCACTACCGTCGGCTTAATATGCAGCACTTCTAAACTTCCGTCATTTGCAGGCGCCTGCAACTGTATTGTCTGCGCCGTGTTCGCGATACTTCCGGCCAGCACAAAGCTATTCTCATAATTTCACGTGTTTTCTCCTGGAAGGAAACGGTGTTGCCGTTTGAATTTCTCCCAGCAATTATTTCTACTAATTTTAGTGTAAAAAACACGGAATGGACTCAATGGAGTTACGACTACGAGTACATTGTATTATATCCACTCAGAACTCTACCGGTTCGTGCAAACTGCGCGCCACATGGTGCGGCGAAATAAAGTGAACAAAAATTCATAAGCGAAGAATAACTACGAACACCCGTTGTTTATGTCAATAAATTAATTAGCTAGCTACAAAGTGAGGATAAAATCTCATTCGTGGCGTTTAAAAAGAAATGTGCAACTGTATAATTGGTATTTGCACTGGGGAAAAAATAGCAGAGATCGCGGTGTAGTATCAAACGTCCAACCACCCCGGCGCAGCTAATATCGCGCAGTAAACCAACGTTCGGTAGGAATTATTCGTCCACATACAATGGATCACCCCGTTCGACCAAACTTTTCCATTCTGCGGGAAGCGCTTCTAAAGCCCGCAGAGTGATGGTGGTCAGCTTGGCGACATCCAGATCCTGGAGATTCTCCGCCGTCCACTCATGCCCACGATAATGCGTCGTCCATCGCGGATCACAACTCTGATAATCCTCCAGATACTGCATGAAACACACATCAACGGTAAAATCTTTTCGCACTTCATTTCAACCAAACAAAAAATACTATTTTTCCCGATAAAAAGAGCATGTAGCCTACGTGATTCACAACCCATAATTTTACCCCAGATTTTACAAACTGACTATTTGTGCCCGCGTTTGCGCATCATTTTGATGGCCATTCCATCATAAAAGTATAGATTTGTTCTATTACCAAGCTCACAGTAAATTACTGACAGCAATAATACGTAATAATAAAATAAAACAGCAATAGTTAGAAACAACTTAATTCTGAGAACTAACACCGGTAATAAAATAATTATTAAAAACATAACAGAAAAAATTAATGCTTCCAAATAAATGCCAAAAGACAACACTCCCAGAAATAAAGCAATTATTACACAATAAATCAAAAAATGCGAAAAAGCAATGTTAGAATAAACTAATCGTAAGTAAGAACAATCTAAAAATAATCCAAGAATAATCTCAGAATCATTTGCACGACCGCATATATGCGGAGACCGCCAGTTCTTTTCGATTTACCTCCGCAACCTTTCGGCGCAGTCCGTTTGATCCTGCGCGAATCCATCCAGCCATCTCCTCCATGTTAATCCCATCACGCGAGAGATCGGCCTCGTAGAGATCCCAGAACTGCGCTTCCAGATCGGCTGCATCCAGCTTAAGCCTCGTTGTCGGCGGGATCGCCGCCATCTTCCGTCCATGCAGTGCAACGAAACGCGCACCGACACAGTCGCAGCTCCTCGCAGAACGGTGCCAATCCCTTCAACTCCGCCGCCAGACGGCGGATGTACACCCGGTCAAGAGGCTCATCTTCGCCCTCAGGGAGAATGTCGCCCAATCCCTCATCCCAGCCAATGTCCACCCGGTGTAGGATGAGTTGTTTAATCTGGACCTGCCGCAATAACCAGCGAACAGCCAGCACCACAGTGGGCATGTGCTCGTCGCCCACATGCTCCACAATCAGACATCGTGTCGAGGTGTCGATGCCCCGGATCATTCCACCCAGAGCGCTGGACACCCGGATGACGTTCTCCGCGGCAAAGCTCGAATAGGGATTCATCGCGAAGGACACGCGGACTGTTTGATTTCTGCTGGCGTCGGTCAGCACGGCATTCCACAACGGAGAGACACGACGCAGTTTCATCCGGCTGACGCTGTCTAGTGAGTGGAAGATCTCGCGGAGGAGGTGCGGCTGCGTGGGAATCACGCGTTCCATTGCCGGGTGCCTGTCGTCTTCCGGGTGTTTGCGCTTCATTCCCGCGCGACAGCCATCAGGTGGGTCGTTCTCCCAAACCCCCGCCTTGGACTTATGAGTAAAGTGTCGGAACCTCTCGTATTCGTATTTCTGTCGAGCATTACGAAAAGCATCACAAAATAATCATGTTCACCCGCATGCGCGCTATCCACGAGATTCATCTATTTTATATCGAATTGGCTATTTTGCCGCCACAACTCACAACATATTTATTGATGAATTTTATTTTCTTTTTTTTATGGACACTTTCATTCTATAACCGACCATCTAATTTTAAATTACGCTTGTCTTTATTAAATTATTATATTCATCACGCTGTTAATTAACTTAATTCTGAATATTAATTTCACAAACATAAAAAACCCAAGACAAACGTAAAACCTGAGAAAATTTAAAAGCATTGATAAAGAATAAACATTCGAAATAATAAAACTAAAAATATTCGAATTTACTTCTTTAAGCTTTTTTCAAATTTTCAACAAAATTATGAAGTATACATTAAAAAATACCTGTGCAGGAAAGTCTGATTTAAAGTGATTTTCTCAGTCTTTGCACTAGAATACGCACATTGAGCGTATTTTAGTGCAAACTACGCAGTGCAATACTCAAGTATCGAAGTATTATTTTACACATACCAACGTCTCTTCTGTCAGCGGTCTCACATCGCTGCGCTGTAGGAACTTGATCATTCCACCGAGAACCGACCCAATAAGCACATTCCAAAAGTTCTCAATGTGACGCTGGACGTTATCATTTATCCCGGTCGATATGACGGTCGCCCAGTAATTCTCCGGCAAACGACACTCGCGCCACACGTACGTGCTGTGCAGCACCGATCGTTCCGCCAGGTCTTCCTCTGACAGCGGAAAGCGCACCTGGTCGCAGAGCCTAAAATCTTCAAAATCTATGTGAGCACACTTCATTTCGCAAAGAGGGGGTATTGATTATTTGCTTTGTATTTTCGTACTGGCTGACATTGTCATGACTCAGGAGATTGCACGCGTTGGCAAATTTACAGAAAATTTTATGGGAATGCCTATCCAGTAAAATTGGCATTTAATACAAAAAACATGAGTTGTGAGATAGCTGAAGTTGTTAGTTTTTTTGTGCAGCAGTTTTGTAAATACGACAGCGAACGTTTTGTCTTTTTTCGCTTATTTCTTGAGTCCGAATCGAGGCCTCGTGCGAAGCCGACGTTGCTTTTTGACCAGGAAGCACAAAAAAATCAATTAAATTAAGTTATTTATTCAGAACTATTTCGGGTTTGTCAAATTTGTTAAACACTCGTACATAAAACTAGCGAAGCGTTTTGTAGTGACTATTGTGATTCGTTTTGCCCCGAACTCTTAGCATGGCGGGGGCTGCATTGATGACCTTACGGCTGACATTCAGCAACGGTGTCAGTATTGGACCGGGCGAACTGGTATTTGATAAAGATGAAGTAAACTAAGATAACCACGAGCTGAATCGCTAAGATATTCTAATGGTCGACCAAAATCACAAGTTCTACGAGTAGAGGCTGTAAAAATATCGACCAGTAGAGAGATATATGCGCCACTACCCACCAAGTTTAAACGTTTTCAATTACTGGGAGATTTGCCAGTAGACACTGGGAAAGTTTTTAAGTAACCACACTTCTGCCGCTACATAACTCAAATGCACAGTGCAGCGCATTGCAGCATTTGTTGAACTTAGTAATAATGCTGTTTCACAGGGTAAATCCAAAAGCGGAAATGAGAAAAAGGTATATCAGTAATTTCGAAAGTCATAAATGTGACTATTGTTTCCATTACGCAGATGACATTCCCTATTAACTCTATCGGTAAATGGACAACTGTTGCTGGTACAGCCACTAAAATACCGCATGTCTACCCGAAATGGTCGTTCTCTCAAATAACCACCAGATAATCCCGTGAAAGTTGAAGCACACAATGCTTGTACATCAAATGACACAAATTCACACAATCAAAGCAAGCAAATACGTGCCTTGTGTAAATTTTTAATTTTTTCACCTGATTCTGCCAACTGGAGGTCAAATAAGAGAACGTAGCTGTTTCTCTGAGTTCGCTGATTAAAGATTGATTTTCAGTATTATACGACCCTATGCACTCTACTAACTGCGCACGAAAGACATTTATACAAATTCTATAAACAGCGCGCGTGATTTTACTACGTGCAACAAGAGCACTATTGACTTGTGGGCATGTAAGTTATGCAACATCAGAAGTGTGGTTAGTAAGTATAAAACATGCCGTCTGCCAAATCTCCCAGTGAAAGTTAACGTGACACGCATTGGCTTATAGCTTTTACTGGTTTGTTCGTGAAAGTTTTTGCTTTCTTAAAACAATTAAAAACAGTTAGAAGCCGGTTAATTACACAGAAGGGGGGAGTATTGACAACTTTTAAGCACAAGTTGCGATCTAGGTGAGCACATGCACCTTTATGTGAGCACATTTTGTGCTATGTGAGCACAAGTTTTTAGGCCCTGCCTGGTCGGCCGGGAACGGTTCGGTTGGGTGCCAGCCATCCTGCTCCACTTGGGCAAGGAGGAGGATGCTGTTGTCAATAGAGAAGAACATCTTTTTACTGCGCAAGCGACCCGGATACCACAGCCAGGCCGCACCCTTATGTGCGCGCCACAGCACCTCCACAACGGCGTTCTCCGTTACCGCGGGGCTCTCCTTGATTTCCTCGTCCCAGGAGTCGTACGGAGCGGAGAACGGTGCGGTGAAAGCGCTGTAGATTTTGTCGTAGCTGACGAATTGCGAGCGCTGTGCGCTGCAGTGGAAATCCAAGATGAGACCCGTCTCCGTTGTATCGATCATTTCGCCGTGCTGGAAAAGTCCGCTCTCCGTCAGCACATCAACACTGTTCCATGCGTACACGGCATGAGATTGGTAGTTTGTTCCTCCATAAATGTTCATTTTGAAACCCTTTGAAATAAACCTAGGTACTGTAAATAAGTACCGCAAGTGGGAACGGTTAAGACGGCTAACATGCGAAAAATTGAAAAATTCGAAAGTAAATACAAATGCACACACATCGTGTCTGAATGCGCCTTGTGCAGCTGCATGAGTAGGCATCTCTTCCAGCTTGCAAATCAGGAAGACTCGCATGCAGCCGGTCCATACACTAGCTAATAGCTATGTATGGCTTTGCTGTTTCCCTGTAAATGCCGTGCTCACACCCACAGCGTGTATCTAGGGTCACAACCTACCGTTTCCAGGCGCAGACCAAACAAATTCTTTAATTTATTGATGGTATTGGTGAGAACGCTTGTTTCAAGATCTCTCACCCGGTTCACATTTCACAACCTATATTTCATAATTTTCATTTCGCGCACAACCTGGTTCCGGCACTTCCTTTAACTCCGTTAACTGTGTAATGTGTTTACCGGCAAGTGCAAGACGGTTCGTTTTAACGTGTTACTTGAAATTATTTCGGCTCACGTTCTATAAATTTTTCATGTGATAATGCTAATACGAGTACTTCCTGCAAAGAGCGCAGAAAACGCCATTTATTACGCGCCGCCATTTAGAAAACGCCGTTAATTTCTCTTCACTCGATTAACGGGCCCAGATCTTATATTTTTACATTTAGTACGTTCACATACACCGGTACGCGACATTCTTATGAAATTTTTTTGAATGATGATGCGCAAAATCAATCGCAAAATTTTCTCCCACTTTTCATGGCAGAACGTGAAAAGCCAAACAAACTAATATATGTAGTGAGCGGAGTAATGGTACGTACGCAAGTACAACCACGTACGTAGTGCGCGGAAGGCATTAATTAACCGAGCGAAAGGTTGTGAAGGGCTGTGAAAAAAGTGGTCACCTTCTTATTTTTTGGGATGATTCGCAAATTGCAGGTGACCTGCACTGACTGCACTGTGCGGGGATATTTCCGGCCAGCATGCACGATTATTCCCATAATTTGGCGTCTTTCGACTTGATGGAAACGACCTTGCCAGTCGGTTGATCGTCTGTGCAATGTGCATACTTCTATACGTACATATGTATAATACGGAGGCACGTAAAACGTGATGACTCGATGTGAAACGTGATGACTCGATGTAAAGCCTAGATGATACAGTACTTTAAATCTCCGTGTGAAAACACTCAGTAATGAGCAGTTATTTATTACCTAACGTTAAGGATACCGTAATTGACCACGGCACAATCGCTAATGAGGTGTGATTTCGGCTCTATTGTGTCATTTGGGATGAGACGCTTTGAAAGGTTAAGCATATGCGTCTATGGGAAAAACACCAGTGCAGTTCACATTTCTACACGCATTCACTCTTAATACAAGCATTCCATAAACAAAACAACTGTCGTTAATTCAGAGACTGTTTAGAAAATTTACTGGGACATACTCACTGTAAGCACAATTCAAAAATATGAGCTTTTCAATTTCATGATCTGCAAGCATCGCACAACTGCAGATATAACTTCGACGGTGAACTCTTAAGCAGATTTGCACAATGTCTGCGCAAAAGCATGGTTAGATCACTCTATATATATGGAAGTATTTATAACTTTATTTAGATGTTGTTATAGTAAACGACATCAAAAGGAAAACGACATTAAACGTTATTTGATCTGATTGCGAATGGAGTTTTGCAGATGCTTGTAAAGCAGTCCCATATGCCTCGCGCTACTGTCTCATCTGAAATAACAATGGCTAGGCACGCTACGCCTCGTATACCCTCGGCACGCCTGATTTGTTGCCGTTGTCAATTAAGGTAATCTGCAGGTGATCGGCGTTGAGTGCAGTGTGTTCGCGATACTTAAGCTATTCCGGCCATCACAACATAATTCACATACTTAGTTTCATGTGTTTCAGCTGGAAGAAGCCGACACACTGCCGTTTGATTGTCGACGAACAAGTGATTCTTTGAATTTTGGTGTGAAAACACGGAATGGAGTTATTTTGTTACTATGTACAGTATTGAAACCACTTAGAACTCAGCAGCTGCAGTTTAAAGTGGAGCAACCCCGAGCGAAAATTAACCCCATTCATACTGGTCTTCATGCGAATCATTTCCCAAACTCCAGCAATTTATGGGCAATTAATCCCGTTCCTTCCGTAAGAAATACATCAACCGCAAACGGCTGACGTCGGGCACAGAACAATGTAGGCCATAAAAAGTCTTTACTAAAACTTTGGAAACAAGTTTATACCACTATATTTTATTTGTGCTCCGCGGAAAAGAACTAGAAGATCTCGTAAAATTCGGACTTCAAAAAACAACCGGTAAAATTTTTCGCACAGTGGACTAATTGGCAGCTGAGAGAGTCGCTAAGCGGAATTATTCATCATCTTCTTCGCTGTCATCCACTTCCTCACTATTCTGCTCTTCACCGTCTTCCCACGCGGCCGGCAGAGCTTCGGCCAAAGCCCGCAGCGTAATGGTGGTCAGCTTGGTAAGATCCAGATCTTTGAGGCTCTCCGCCGTCCACTGTTTCCCACGGTAATGCACCGTCAACCGCGGATCCGCGCTCTGATAATTCTCCAGAAACTGCACGCGACAAACATCAGTGTTAAAGCCCTTTGCACATTTTATTTAAATTAAATTGATAACAGTTGTTTTGCGACGTCCGAAATCCAGTGCGTAATAATAATTCTGCCCCGATCAAAATATATAGTTTTTATTAGGAGAATCCATAGCCCGATTTCCACAGTTGGATGTATTTAATTTCCTGTTAAAATTATATAATTAAAAAGATAAATACAATGTTTCTCGACGTCCGAAATCCAATACGTAGTAATAATTTTGCCCCAATAAAATATATAGCTGTAATTAGGAGAATCCATAGCCCGATTTCCACAGGCGGATATATTTCCGTTTACTGTTAATATTATTTTGACTTCAGATTCGGTTTTCTCGCGAGACTCTACGTCAGAAAAGTAGAATCCGATCGGTAATTTTTAGAACTGTTGATCGTTAACTACCCTAGGCAAGTGCACCGCACTGAAAGACCGAAGCGAAGCGGGAAACAAAATTAAATAAACACTTTATCAGGTTAATCTTTTTTCAAAATTCCAATTTTCATTTATTATTTTTTTGTTTTCTGTGTTCTTTTATTATTTTTCGTGTTCGTTAAATATAGTTTTCAACATTATTTCCCTCTTATGAATTTTAAAATACGAAGGCGTGACCGACATGACCGATGTGACCGACAAAAGGCCCTTTTTCTTGAACACCGAAGACCTTCGCTTCGCTTCGGTCGATGATTAATTCATTTATTTTCTAGCTCTTAGATAATGGTTTTCACCTCCGTAACCATCCGGCGCAATGCTGCGGATCCCGTGCGAATCCATTCCGCCAGATATTCGATATCCAACCTCTCACGCGACAGATGTGTCTCATAGAGACCCCAGATTTGTTCGGCCATATCCGCTGCATCCAGTTTGATCGTCGCATGCGGAATAACGGCTTCCATCAGGTCGTCGCAGCTGAATTTACACCGGCACAATCGTAATTCCTCGCAGAACCCCGCCCACGCCTTCAAAACCGTCGCCAGACGCGTGATACCCCTCTGCAAAGTCAACCGGTCCTCAGGCTGGTTCTCCTGCGGAACAATCTCCTCCCCAACGGGAAATTCATCAGTATCATCCCAGTCGAAAGACACCCGGTGGAAGACGATCGTCTTGATGCGGAGGGTCCGCAGCATCCGGCCCATCACCGTCATGACCACTCCCACATCCCCGCCACCGACATCCTCGACAATCAGCCGTTGTGTGGAATGATCCAGGCACTTGAGCAGACTTCCCACAGCGACGTATATAACACCCGGGTCCATGTCGAAGGATACCCGGACCGTGTGGGAGCTGTCAGCCCCGGTCAAGACGGTATTCCACAGCGGACACACGCGGCGCAGTTGCAGACGGCGGACGCTGTCTAGTGACTGGAAGATCTCGCGCAGCAGATGCGGCTGCGTGGGAATCCGGGCGTCTGTCGCCGGCTGCCCGTCATCGGCGTGATGTTTGAGTTTCTTCCGGGACGGCATGCCGGCGTCATCTTGCTGATCATCCGCCCGGGAGGAGTCGTTCTCCAACACGATATCCTGCTCAGTGGCCTGCCGAACCTGACAAATACAATAATAATTATTATAAAAAAATACCGTTCGAAGCGTACGCGAACACAAAGTACGTACTCACATCCCGAACGGACAACATAAATTCTTGTATTTGCCGTACTTCAGATGTCATATAAAGTATACTATATTTATCAAATTTATTCTTATTTTTATTTATTTGCTATCAGAACTTTCTGTTTGATTGAATCTAATTAATACTGAGTAGCCAAGCCCGTAAACAGGAAGTTTCCCAGAAAACGGTCCTGTGTATAGTTTTCTTTTCAATGTCTTATTTTTGTTTCCAGTTTCTTGTTTGTACTCGTATTATTTTTGTGTCACATAAATATTTCGTTTTTATCGAGTATTTAACCTTTCCATTTAACGATGATCCTATGAAAAAATATTATTTTTATAGTATACTTCTTATCTTTTTTTTATGTTTAAACGCATACTTACAAGTTCCAACTTAATGTACAGAATCGTTTCCAATTTTGCAATTAAAATATAATCAGTAAGTGCTGATTCAAAATTATAAAATTTATACTTAACATACCGTACAAGGAACTGTAAAATTTTTAAAATAATTAATAATCATGTAAGTATCAATACAGAGTTCAGTGTATTTACTGAATACTTATACCGTCACAGACGCACCAAATTGGCCTGTGTCGGTTGTCTCGCATCTCTGGGCTGCAGGAGTTTAGCCACCGCGTTGCGAACCGACACAACACGCACACTCCACCACGCTTTCAGTTGACGGGCACGGCGATCATCTATCCCGGTCAGCCAGTTATTCTCCGGCAAACGGCACTCGCGTACCTCGAAGGCGTTCGGCCGCAGCGCTCGTTTGGCCAGCGCTTTCTTCGACGGCGGAAAACGCACCTGTTCGACGGGGAAGAGTTCCGCTGATTGGCCGCCATCATGCTGTACTTGGACGATCAGCAGGTCGATGTAATAGGGGAAGCAGAACGCCTGGCTGAGGAGTCGACCAGAATATCATAGCCACGGAGCGCCTGAATGTGCGCGCCACAAAACTTGCACGCTGGTGTTCTCCGTCACGGCGGGGCTCATCTGCACTTCGTCGTGCCAGCTCAGGTACCCTGCGGAACAGGGGGCGATGGCAGCGCTGAAGATTTTGCCATAGCTGACGCACTGCGAGCGCTGTTCGCTGCACTGGAAATCCACGATGAGCCCGTTCTCCGCCACGTCGATCACTTCGCCGTGCTGGAACAGTCCGGTCTCCGTCAGCACATCCACACTGTTCCACCCGTACACGGGATGAGATCGGGAATTTTGCCCTCCATAAATATGCATTTTTAGATAGCAACCCACATACGAATTGAGAACCAAAACTGCAAGTATCACAAGATGGACATTATTTCAAATGATTAACTAAACTGAAAAAGGAAAACGCACAGTAAAAGTTATAAACTCAGGGAAGTGGAAACTGATTGTGAACTAACAACACGCATGAAGAAGAAGTCTACTGAAACCTGGTAATGCGCAGAAGTGAGATGCACTGCGAAACAGATTCTAAGTCTCGTACGCGGGCGGTAGGGCATTGCGCAGGCTGAATATTTACACACACGTCTGCTTTCTGCTGTCAAGGCGCGTAGCCTACCCTTGAAAACGGTGCAATGGTTGATTGTTTTCATTCGTGTTGAGGTAGATTTAATTACACGTTTCCACGGCTTGATAGTATATACAGCAAGTAGCTGCAACTGCGGCCGCGTTTAGTTTTAGGTGAACTCTCCATATCCACTACGAGTCTACGGCCTCGTCCCCAATCTGTAGCGAATCTCGTTACGGTACAGGGCACCACCGTCCCAGAATAGGAGATACGCGATACGGTATGGCGGTTCTCGCTTCGCGTATCTCGTTACCCGTGAAAAGATTAGGGACGGGGGTATGCTCCGTAACCTAATGCGTCCCGTATTCATAACTCTCTGATACGGTATCCTGCGGTATCCTTCGAACATATTAACATAAAACTGAATTGCCATTCATTACCAAATACCACATAATACTGATTGGGAGGAAAAAGCGAGGCTGGGAAAAGAAGACTTGATTTTGCGAATTGTTATCCGTATGTACCACTTATTAACCACTACAATTATTATTATTGTACGCTTGTCAAAATAAATTGCGCGGATGGCTTGAAAATGCAACTGATGTCTCATCAGTGCACCACCAACTGCGAAGTGTGGACTATGATGCCAAACGAAAAAACTTTCAATCCAGGGAATAAACATTTCACAATTCACACTAGGAACTAATTAGAATGATGGCATAAAAACAATCAACCCAAGAATCTAAATTCCTGAAACAAACTTCGAATTTTTCACCACACATAAAAACACACAGAGCACACATAAAAACTGGTAAACAGTGCGATATGCGATCGGAGCGATGGGACGCAAATACAGCGATATGGGGCCAAAGCTGAGGATTCAATACAGGAAACCGATAGCGAGCCCAGTTTCGATATGCGAAGCCTGTACTGTACCTTGGTGGCAAGCACCAAAGAGTGTCCCATTTCTGTACTGCAGCGAAACTAGCTAGTAGCTACGGTGCTGTATCGTAACGAGATACGCTACAGATTGGGGACGAGGCCTACGAGTACCTTTCAGCTTCAGGCTTTCGTTATCTTTGCCCCGTCCCGTCCACTGTATCATGCAGCAGTTTACAATTTACAACGGAATAACTGACCTGAGAGAATACTCGCAACGTTTGTAATTATATTAATTTTATGCTGATCAATTCAACAATTTATTGGCAATTGTTGCCGATTCTGCCACAGTCCGCATACGAACGATTTACCCAGCCTCGTTCAAAACACATCCGGTCGTCGGCACAGAACAGCGTAACGCATAATTAACGGTTTAGCAAAGGCCTGGTTTAACTATAGCGTTACACTTTAGTATATGCACTATGGCAGAAAAAAATACGACAAATTTGTCTCAGGCAAAAGTAAAACACACCGGTGAAAGCTAATCGCGCAGTGAACCAACTGGCCATTGCAGCGTCATCTGGCAGGAATTATTCGTCATGCAACTTCATCATAACACTGGGTATACCGTATACTGTTTCGCGAAAACTTCCCATTCTACGGGCAGAACTTCTTTCAAGGCGCGCAGCGTGATGGTGGTCAGTTTGGAGGTGTAAAGATCGTTCAGACTCTTCTCCGTCCACTCTTTGCCACGATAGTGCGTCGTCAGTCGCGGATCACAGCTATGGTAACCCCGGAGAAGCTAGACGACGAACATCCAAGTTCAAATCTTAATTTCCGCATTTTTTTCATTGTGTTCTTATTCGTTTCCTACATCCTTTCCTCGGCCAAAAATTAATAATTCTTATTACTGTTAGAAATTATATTACCAATATAATATACACTAATGATGTGTCATGTACTTGTGAACTATGACCATTGTCTTACTAGCTGATCTATGAGTGTACGGTGCACCCAGGTCACCAATCCCCTTGTTTATCAGATGTTTAGGTGCAGTAACTTACTAATATCGTGAATGTACCGTGTGCTATATAAGCAACCAGCTTGTATAACGTTGAATGAACAGAACATAACAGAACAACACCAGTGTATGCGACGCTTCCGGTTTCTGTTCCCGTGACTATAATTATCTCATAATATAAATTCTAACAATTACTAAAACTTGCTGTAGTAAATTAACAACTAACAACTAAAAAAGAATAACCGCATGCGAAGACTCGAGCGATTTACAGAATTTTACCTCGGCAACCATCTTGCGAAAACCTTTCGACCCGGTGCGAATCCATTCGGCCGTTGCCTCTCGATTCAACCCCTCACGCGACAAATGGGCCTCACAGACATCCCAAAACTGTCCGGCAATATCCACTGCATCCAGCCGAATCCTCGCCTGCGGAATAACGGCCTTCATCCGGCCGCTGCAACTGAAATTGCAATGCCGCAGCCGTACTTCATCGCAGAACGGCGCCAGTGCTGCCAGAGCCGCCGCCAACCGTCGGATAAACACGCGCCCCACCCCCTTATACGCCTCCGCAATGGGAAACTCTGTCAGCCGATCATCCGAGTTAATGTCCACCCGGTGGAGGATGAGCTGGCGGATGTGGGCATGCCGCAGCAACCAGCGACAGACGAGTACCGCATGGTACAGGAGCTCATCGCCCACCTCCTCGATAATCAGGCGTTGCGTGGAGGGATCGATGGCCTTAAGCATACCCCCCACAGCGAAGTACACCCGCAGGAAGTTCCCTGGGTCCGGGCGCGAAGAGGGGTTCACTGCGCTACATCGGTCAATAAAATACCCGCAAAATTTGACCGTTGTCGGCGCCGGTTAAGACAGAACTCCACAGCGGACGCACGCGACGCAGTTTCGCACGCCTGACGCTGTCCAGTGAGTCGAAGGTCTCGTGTAGCAGATGCGTATCCATGGGAATCACGCATCCGTTCCCATATTCGGGGGTGCGGCGTTTTCGGGGTTTTGCGCTTCCCAACAGCGTCCAAAGACGGCATTTCAGAGCCATTCGGTTGGTCATTTTCCTTCACCCCGAACAGTGCATGAAATTTGCGGATCACATCGTATTCCATTCTCTGCCAACCATTACGAACAACACCAGAAAAAAGTTGTCGCATGTACGTGAAATAAACACCAAAGAACTCTGTGAGATTCAGTAGCACTGAATGATTTCATTAATTTCAAAAGTATTTGTTCCATACGTACGTACAACTGCTTAATTTAATGTTTTGAAGTTTGTACGTATTTTCATCATACGGCATCACACGTATGTCCTTTAATGCCGCACTTGCATTAAACAAAAAAACATCATTAAGCGCACCCGGTCGTCGGGCTCCGGATAGCGCGGTAGGCGATAAAAACTCATCGATAAACATTCCAGCAAACACTGAATTCAAGTAAGTACAATATTAAATTTGATCTACAGTACGTACGTGCATTCCGGTAAAAAAATTACGACCTATTCAGTTTCGCTCGCTACCAGCACACCGATAAAGTTGTACACCGTGAACTAATTAGTGACAGCTAAGAGCTCGTTAAAGCGGAACTATTCGCCATCGTCTTCACAGTCGCCAATTTCGCAGTTATCCTGCTCATCGACATCTTCCTCAGCGACGGGGGCGCCAGACAACACCTCCCAACGCCCGCAGTGTGATGGTGGTCAGCTGGGAGACATCCAGATCCTGGAGATTCTCCTCCGTCCACGTCTTGCCACGATAATGCGTCGTCAATCGCGGATCACAACTTTGATAACCCTCCAGCAACTGCAAACGATCAACGTCGACATTTACATCTGTTTTCTTATTACCATAAGTGTTATTTCTTATCACATTTTATTTTTATCAAATCGAACTGTAATTTTCTGTCGACGACTAGTAATACTATTACCGCAGGCAAAACCGACAATTGACCAATTCACATATTCAACCACGTGGTAAACTAGTCACGTGGTTTCCGTCTCGCATTTTCAGCAGGTGTAGATCGCTGTGTACAATATGCAGTTACAGCATTGCTTTCGACACTAAATGACTAGGTGAAAATCGTAGGAATCTGGATATCATCTCATAAAAAATGTTTTTTTACTGCGCTTTATTTACTCAGTCGCTAGTTTCGACCAAAAAATTAATATGAGTGGTGGAGTCAGTCAAACAGATCATTCGCGAGAAGATTCAAGTGCGTCTACCAGCACGGATCATGCTGGCTAAGCAGTTGTCAAACAAGAAGGTACGATCACAGCTGAACGCAAATATATTCACGAATTACAAAAACATTATAATAATTAAATGTAGAAGCTTAAGCAAGACTTGCTTTCATTTTTGTTTTTTTCTTAGAAAAACCGTTGTGTATGGCTCGGTGTGCCACTGTGTGTGCAGAGTGGCGATGAGCAAGGCCCAGAAAACATCCACTGTATGCTGGTGTTTGACTTCCGCTCCATTGCTTCCCTACTGTTCATGGAAAATCGTCCACGTATGCGACTACGCGTACATTTTGTAGATTTATCCTGGGGCTTACATCTCAAAGATAACGATAGCACAGCTGAATTGGCATCCTGCGTTTCGAAATCTGCTGCAGCCAGAAAACGAATCCACCATTATGCAAAGCAAAAACTGCGCGGCGAAACTCAGCTGTTGAAGAATTAGGCCTGTGTTTCTTAACATAGCCTGTATTAAAGAGAAAATTCCTGGCGAAATTTCCAAAAAATATGTAGCTATCAGGCCCCTTAGCCAATTAAAAAAATTTCACTTTTTAAGATCAGAAAAAAAGTGAAAGCAGTGAAATACACAACAAATGCAGCAGCAGTCTGTACAATCTACACCTGCTGGACGATATTAGACAATCGACCAATAGAATGTTAGTCCGTCCTTTATGTGAATTGGTCAATTACTTTTATTAAAGAAAAAGCAGCCCGATCAACGTATAAGCGGCTGCATTTGTTGAAGTTACCGCTAATTATTCTACGATACCACTTCATGCTAGTGACCAAGATTTAAAATGATAAATTGTACTGCATTTTTCTACTGGCTTTTACCTCAGTAACAACATGGCGAAAGACTGCGGATCCGGCGCGAATCTTTTCCGCAAAATACTCCAGCTCCAATCCATCACGCGCCAGATGCGCCTCATAGAGATCCCAGAACTGTTCGGGAAGATCCGCTGCATCGAGCGGAATCGTCGCGCGCGGAATAACGGCGGCCATCTGGCCCATGCAACGGAATTCACACCGCCACAGCCGTAATGCCTCGCAGAACGCCGCCCAAACCTTCAACACCCCCGCCAGACGCCAGATATTCTGCATCACATCCTGACTCTGCTCCTCCGGAACAATCACTTCATCCGCGATGGGAAAGTCAACACTCTCACTCCACTCGAAGTTCACCTTATGGAAGACGATCTCCTTGATGTGAAACGTCCGCAGCATCCGGCCAATCACCGTCAGGACCGCCCCCACCTCCCCGCACCCGACATGCTCCACGATCAACCACTGTGTTGTAGTGTGCAGGCATTTGAACATACTACCGACCGCGCCGTATACGCCGATCAACGCCGGGGTCATCGCGAAGGACACCCGCACCGTGTGTACGCTGTCGGCGCCGGTCAAGACGGTGTTCCACAACGGACACACGCGGCGCAGTTTCTGACGGCTGGTGGTGTCCAGTGACTGGAAGATCTCACAAAGGAGATGCGTTTCCGTGGGAATCCGGGCGTCCATGTCCGGCTGCTCGCTATCGGCGTCGGTTTTGCGTTTCTTTCGGGACGGCATGCCGGAATCATCGTGGTCAATGTTCTCCCGAGGGCACTCGTTCTCCAACGCGAAATCGTTCTCGCGTTTCTGTCCAACCTGACGAACAACATAATCAAAGCATCGCCGTTTAACATATCTGTACAATACCATGCATCCCGAGCGGGCACCATAAAGCTCTCCATTCATTTATTAATTTTGGATTACTTACTGTACAAACTAATATATCCTGCATACGTATACCGGTATACGTACTATTTGGTTTTATTTGATATTCATTTTTACTATTTAAATTCTCCGAATATACACCAACTTTTATCGATTACCTATATTATGGCCTTATGGGTACTATATAATTATTATAATAAATTTTGTATGTGTACAGTATATTGTACATTAATTTAGCAATTGATTAACACTCGCTTAAACATAGCCTCCCCTTACGATTAAAAAATTATTAATTCTTGATGGAAAGACCTCATGATCAGTCTCTGCAGTCTGCTTTGTTTTACTAATAACGTCTGCTTTGTTTTCCTAACAATAGCAAATAAAAACATAAATAAGCTGATAAACATAATAAAAATGTACTAGCAGTTATTTATCAGATTTACCATTACGCACCAAATTTTTTTTCGTCAGCGGCCGTGCATCACTGGGCTGCAGGAGCCTAGCCACTGCGTTCTGCACCGAGACAACACGCACACTCCACCAGGCCTTGAGCTGACGACGACGGCGATCATCCGTCCCGGTCAACCAGTTATGCTTCGGCAAACGACACTCCCGCACCACGAAGGCGTTCGGCCGCAGCGCTCGTTTGGCCAGAGCTTCCCGGGACGGCGGAAAACGCACTTGCTGGCCGGGGAAGAGTTCCGCAGATTGCCAGCCACCAGGCTGTATCTGGACGATGAGCAGGTCCACATAGAAGGGGAAGAACATAGGCTTGCTAAGCAGCCGGCCAGGATACCAGAGCCACGCAGCGCCTGGATGTGCGCGCCACAAAACTTGCACGCTGGCGTTCTCCTTTACGGCGGGGTTCTTTCGCAGTTCTAAGTACCAGATATGGTACCCCGCGGAGCAGGGGGCAGTGGAAGCGCTGAAGATTTTGTCGTAGCTGACTAACTGCGAGCGTTGTTCATTGCAGTGGAAATCCACGATCAGACCGTTTTCCGCCACATCGATCACTTCGCCGTGCTGGAAAAGACCGCTCTCCGTCAAGACATCAACACTGTTCCACGCGTACACGGGATGAGATCTGACATCTTCCCCTCCATAAATGTACATTTTTAACTAACAACGGCACACAAAATTTGAGAACCAATACTGCAAGTACTGCTAGGTGGAAATTTTAGACTAACTAAACTGAAAAGTAAAACGTACAATAAAAGTTATAAACTGCGTGAGTGCAAACTGATTGTGAACACTCGCACTCGTCTATGGTTTAATTACACGGAGTGTTCTTGTGTGCCGCGAAGGCGCAGCACATGGTTCGTTCCAATCTGGTATAGAACGGTCTGGTATTCATGCAGAATGTTTTCTACGCTTTGTTCTTCCTTTTTCTTAAGCACACAAGTGGAGAGAGTTACTTTTCAATTGGTAAATTGAATTTGAAAGAATTGAGGATTTCCGATTTCGCAATAAAAATTCGCAGCACAGCCAAATCACGCTGCCAGACTGGGAGGCTGCCATTTGTTCACCAACCGGAAGCGGTTGGAATTCGTAGTTTTAAAGTTTTCAGTTCATTTATTTCTACTAACTGTTTCAATAAGTGAAAAGCAAAACAAATTTTCTGAGGAATTCAGATTAGGTAGGAGGAAGTCAGCTGCTAGTGTAATGTTCCATGAATTTTGAATGATTAAATGTGCCTCCCAGGCACATGGACGAGGGCGAGTGTTAAGCAGTCTGCTGAATTCTAATGCGATGCACAGAAGTGAGCTTTCTGTAGAACACTGCGAACAGTACAGACTAACAGCCTCGCACGCGGGCGGTTGGGCATTGCACAGGCTGAATACTTACACCAGTACAGTTACCAGTTATGTCTGCTTTCTGCTGTCAAGACGCATCCCGGGAAATTATACAGTGTTTTATATGCAGCCGTTTATAACGGAATAACTGAGCAAAAATTCGCAACCCTTGCACTAATGGGTCTTCCCACTATTTATTGGAAAATTAATGCCGCTTCTGTCCCGCGTATGGCGGTCTACCCAGCCTCGTTCAACCACATCCGGCTGTCGGGCACAGATGAGAAATAAACTCTTTATTTAGTAAAACTCCAAAACTTCAACTACGAGTATAGCGTTACACTTTAGTATCTGCACCCTGGCAGAAAAAAACTACAAATCTGTCTTAGTCAAAAGTAAAACACAGCGGTGCAGGTTTTCGTGCCGTGTAGCCGTGTACCAACTGGCCGTTGCAGGCTTGCAGCGTCATCTGGCAGGATTTTTAACCGTCACCTTCATCGTAACACTGACTATACTTGGCCCTGAAAACTTCCCATTCTAAGGGAAGGACTTCTAGCAAAGCTCGCAACGTAACCGTGGTCAGCTTGGAGATATCCAGATCGTTCAGATTCTCCTCGGTCCACTCTCTGCCACGATAATGCGTCGTCAGTCGCGGGTCACAACTCTGGTAACCATGGAGAAACTAGGCGACAAACATCCACGTTTAAATTTTAATTTCCATATTTTATTTAAGGGAAGTGACCCGGTATAAGGTACCAATTTCGTGTACATTACGTAAGACGCGGTACAATAATGTACCGTACATTCACAATGTTGCGCGCGCAAACGTTTTGACACCACTGCATACAAATCATTTGGCCACAATCACCAGTACCGAATGAAACCAAAATATGAAAAGAAGTGTAAAGAATGCGGACAATAAACGTTTTTATAAAAATACATGTACCCAAATTTGGTACCATGTGCCGCATCACTTCCCTTGAACCAAGCAAAAAGTGCAATTTCCTAAGATAATTCCAACTTGACCTCAGACAGAATTTCACAATTCTCATCACCAAAACGTGAAGTAGTAAATTAGTGACTAACAAAAATTAAATTAAACAATAAAGCAAAAAATATGCAACAGCAAATCAAATACCTCCGCAAGCGCAGATCGAGTTACACATAAATGGTGTTTGGTGGCTCTTTACCTCTCTTTTCGCTACCTCTAATTTTGCTCCAGACAAAAATGATTATTTGTGTTACCGAAACGTAAAATAACTTAATAATTAGCGACAATCAAAACAATTTAATGCCATAATAAGCAAGAAACTGGCAAGTACGACCGCATGCGGAGATCGAGCGACGTACTTGTATACGGGGTTTTAGTGACGTTTTACCTCCGCGACCATTTTGCGGAATCCTCTTGACCCTCTGCGAATCCATTCGGCCACTGCCTCCCGACACAACCCCTCACGCGACAAATGGGCCTCATAGATATCCTAGAACTGCCCGGCAATATCCGCTGCATCTAGCCGAATCCTGGCTTGCGGAATAACGGCCTTCATCCGGCCACTGCAACTGAATGCACAATGCCAAAGCCGTACTTCATCGCAGAACGGCGCCAGTGCTGACAGGGCCGCCGCCAGACGCCGGATACACACCCGCCCCTCCCCCTTATACGCCGCCGCAATGGGAAACTCGGTCAGGCGATCATCCCAGTTAAGGTCCACCCGGTGGAGGATGAGCTGGCGGATGTGGAGATGCCGCAACAACCAGCGAATGACGATCACCACATGGAATAGGAGCTCATTGCACACCTCCTCGATAATCAGCCGTTGCGTGGCGGGAGCAATGGCCCTGAGCATACCACCCACCGCGAAGTACACCCGCAGGAAGTTCTCCGGGTCCGGGCGCGAATGCGCAGAGGGGACCATTGCGTTGCATCTGTCGAAGGAGACCCGGACCGTGTGAGCGCTGTCGGCGCCGGTCAAGACGGAGTTCCACAGCGGACACACGCGACGCAGTTGCTGACGGCTGACGGTGTCCAGTGACTGGAAGATCTCGCGCAGCAGATGCGTCTCGGTGGGAATAACCCGCCCGGTTTCAGGCGGTGCGTCGTCGCCGGGGTTTTTGCGCTTCACACCGGCGCCCACTGACGGCATGCCAGAGCCATTCGGTTGGGCGTTTTCCTTTGCCTGGAGCTCTGCGATATATTTGCGGATCAAATCGTAATCGTTTCTCTAAACAACATCAGAAAAGAGTTGCAGCGTGCACGAGAAATACATAGCAAAGAATTCCACGACATCCATTTGTTTTGATAGAATTTTAATTGCGTTATGTTTGTTCTATAAAGCTCCTTTTTCTTTATTAATAATCAACGTGGCCAGATCAGGTGGAAGAAAAACAAACACGTGATATTATTCACAACAGCAAAACTTCATTTAAACTATCCACTCCGTCCATCGTGCCAAGGATAGATGTTGCATCCGCGCTGATTTGAGCGAAAGCCGCTGGCGCAGAAATTCATGCGATCGACGCTCCGTGCTGCAGTCTTTTAAAGCCCCAACTCTTTACAATGGCGATAGCCCATCAGGCCCAGGGTCCCATCGTCTCGAAGGCGATCGGAGAAAAGATGTAGCGCCCTTGTAACATGCATAATGTCGCGATTCGTTCACCGCTTGAACAGCAGCAGCACCTGCCGTAACCGACGTTGACGGGCGATGGGAAAGGGCCATTGTGTCGACGCACGTTACCACCCATCCCAGGCCAGGCACATCCCTCTTTTCCAGGCGGATTGCGTACAACCGTCTGGGCGTTGATCTGTGGTTGACGAAGTGCCGCGTGGTTCAAGCTTAGCTGGAATTCCGGCTGAAACACGCGACACACGATATTGTTTAGTCCTCCGTGGCGCATGTCTACCGGCTGAGTAGCTGCACGATAGCCCGTGGTGTCCGAGCTTGTCCACCCTTTATGGCATTTGGTGCAGTTATGTGGTTTTCCTGCAAATATCTGCTCCAAGACGCAAACCAATAGAGATTTTCGTGTTTAGTTTCGTCATCGAGAAGATTGCCGATGTGGGCTGATGTGAAGCGTTATTCTATAAAGCTGAGCTGCCTGAAATTTTTTGAAGTTTACATTTTTTTAAATTTCAGATTCGTTAAGGCTTATTACTTAATTTTGTCTATCATAATTAATTTTCGCCAGAATTTAAAAAATGTAAAAGACATCGAAAACAACACGGTTAGCAAAATTAGGGTTAATAATTAGCAGTTTACGGTTAACAAAATTTTAAAATTCACTGCAAATTATTATTAAAAAAGCAGGAAAGTCGTCCGCGGCTTTTGTCTGTTTCTCAAACTACATTTGCAGGTATCTTCATAATTACTGTACTTGAAGACGTACTGGTATGTACCTGTACTGTGAATTACGTACCCATCGCACCCATTTCTCTTCCGTCAGTGGTTGCGCATCACAGCGCTGCAGGTACTCTATCATGTGGTTGCGAGTAGATACAATATGCACACACCGGATCGCCTCAAAGTGTTGATTGAAGGAAGTATCGGTCGGCCAATAATTCTCCCGCAAACGAGACTGCCGTAACACGAAGGCGTTCGCCGGCAGCGCTCGTTTGGCCAGATCTTCCTCGGACGGCGGAAAACGCACCTGGTTGACGGGGAACAGCTCGGCGGCTGACCAGCCATCATGCTGAACTTCGGCAATGAGAAATGTGATGGTGGCACACGGGTAAAACAGGGCCCGACTGAGCAGCCGACCAGGATACCACAGCCACGGAGCCCCCGGATGCGAGCGCCACAACACCTGCACGTGGACATTCTCCGTCACCGCGGAGTTCCCGTCAATTTCATCATACCACGAGCGATACGGAACGGAATGCGGGGCGATGAATGCGCTGAAGATTTTGTCGTGGCTGACCAACTGTGAGCGCTGTTCGCTGCACTGGAAATCCACGATCAGCCCGTTCTCCGCCACGTTGATCACTTCACCATGCTGGAAGAGGTACATCCACGCAGTTCCACTGATATACGGGATGAGATTCAAAATATTTTCCTCCATAAATATGCATTCTTATTTAGCAACTGCAAGACGATAGAAACAAACGCTGCAGTCAGTACTCTAAAAGTTACGCGGGAAGAAAAAATTATTAGTAACACTGTAACGGATCGCACAGGAAGTGGAAGTTGAGTCGCAGCTTGCGGCTAGCTGCAGCCTGCAGTACAGTAAAAACTCGCTATCTTGCATCAGGGCGGTTGGCCACTGCGCTGGCTGAACACACCGGATAAGTATATTTCTGCTGTTTCCCTGTAGTTGCCGTGCACACAGCGTGTGACATACAGGTACAGACGCAGACCAGCTTGAATTATCCTCTGCTACCAGTGCAACCACCCCCGTCATGCGTGTGCTACAGTGGTGACGCTTTTCTCTCCAGGCCACTGCAACTTGGGAAGGCTGGGGAAAAAGTCCAAAGTTGTCGTCGATTGCGCTGCCAGATACTGTGGAATATTGCGCCCATCGTCGTCACACTCCTCTTATTTGCGCACGATCGTTCTTTTAAATTACTGTTTTCCAGTATATTTGTTCGTGGATCATTTCGGGCGAGCAATTTATCCCTAAGCAGCATGTCGGAGCAGAAGCGTGTGGCCATTATAGGCTCGGGGAACTGGTGAGTTTACTGGTTCTGCTGGGGAAACTTTCTCCTGGCATCCCTTTTTCGTATCCCTGCCTTTGCGTGCAGCTTTTCACAAGCGTCTGCTTCTGAGCGATAGTGGGTTGAAGATGTGTGATTTTGTGATGCAGGGGCAGTGCCATTGCGGCGGTGATCGGGGGGAATCTGCAGAAGGAGCAGACCAAGTTCCACCGTGAAGTGCGCATGTGGGTTTTCGAGGAGATGATTAACGGGCGCAAGTTGACGGAGATTATCAACCAGGATCATGAGAACGTCAAGTACCTCCCTGGCCAGAAGCTCCCGGAGAATGTCGTATGTCAGCGTAGTAATTAATTTAAAAAATTATAAACCGAAACGAAAACATTTATTTTCGAAAATTTTGTTCGAAATCGGAAATACGCACGATTTTTCGATTGTGCTTGGTTATTCTGTTTTTATCTTATTTTTTCTGTTCTCAGCTGGGTACGCAGGACTTTTTTATGTGTTTGCACAGCTAGCTGAAGCAGGAGAGAAAAACTGTGTCGGTGAATTAAATTACTCATCAAATTTTGGTTTTTTTCATTTTTATGTTTATTATTTTATTTTATTAAGAATTTGTTTTAATTTTGACTCGCTATTCTATTTTTTTGTCTCGTTTTGTTTTGATTTTGTCTCGTTTTGTTTTCATTTGTTTATTGATTTTGTCTCGTTTTGTTTTTTTTATTTTTAGGTTTTTCATCCTGTTTTATTAATAATATTATTTTATAAATTTTTTATTTCGTTTTGTTTTTTTTATTTATTGCAGTTTTATTACTCTTGTGATTTACGTTAATTCGTTAGTGGTAATTTTCTCTAACGCTGGTTTGTGGTCTGTACAGACTACAGAACGCTTTTTGTTTGTTTATTTCTGGCCGTTATCATGTTATGTAACAGTTCCGCAGTCCGCAGTTTTTTTCAGTGGGCTTCCGTTAGAATTTAATTACTTTAGTATTTGTTTTGTAATTTTTGTTCAATTTTTTATGCGGTGTGTTTCTGTTATTAAATTACTATTTTTGTTGTGGGTAGCCAACAACATGTCGGAGTGCGTTGAATCGTAGTATAACGGCTAACAAAACAGATGCGTCATATCCAATATTAGCCGTCTTTACATTTACAGACACTACGGGTAGTGTTAATAAAAAGTATTTTTTACCCTGTGTTATTATCCCTGTTGCTGCGTGCAGCGACTAGTGTACGCCGTTCATTTGTCGGTAGATCGCCGAGCCGGACATCCTGAAAGCAGCGGAGGACGCGGATCTGCTGGTCTTCGTCCTGCCGCACCAGTTCATCGCGCGCAGCTGCAAGCAGCTGGTGGGGAAGGTGAAGAGCGGCGCCATCGCGCTGTCCCTGGTCAAGGGTCTGAATAATCCCGAACCGGGCAAGATCGGGCTCATCTCCGACATCATCAAGGAACAGCTGGGCGTCGAGGTCGGCGTGCTCATGGGCGCCAACATCGCCAACGAGGTGGCCGCCGGATCCTTCTGCGAGACCACCATCGGTACGGTTGCAATCGTTTTGTAATTAAATAGCAGTTTAGATTTGAATTAATTTGACAAAATATTTATTTCACCCTCCTTAAGTAGGTTCGGTTGATTAAATTAATTTCCCATTAATATCAGCTTATTAAGGTTTAAATAAATTGACAGAATAATTATTGTTTACTCTGCTTACGTAGTTTCGGTTAATTAAATTAATTTCCCAGTAATATCAGCTTATAATGGTTTAAATAAACTGACAAAAAAACTATTTTTCACCCTTCTTACGTAAGTTCAATTAATTAAATTAATTTCCCATTAAAATTTCACTTTAAATTTCAGTTAATTCATAAGATAATTTTTTTGTGTTTACGTATCTGTAATCTAAAAAGCAAGTAAAAAGGACAACAATTTTAATGCAAATTATTGACGGCTTTTGTAACAAGTTGCTTTCATAACATTTTTGACCTCGGCCACTACTCACTACACTGCAAAATCACCTCTTTGCTGCAGTATCCCTTATTTTCGCTAGTTGGATGTGGCGTAAAATAAAACTGATGCTTCAAGAGCGCTCATCGTTATGATTACCCATTTGTCTTAAATTTAATTTATTACTAGTTTTTTTAAAGAAATTTCGGCGTACCTGATCGCTCCGCACATTTGAACTTTTTATATCAGGCTAATTTTTTACATCGCCTTGCTCTTGTTTGACCTGTACTTGCAGTAGCCAATATTTTGCCTACTGTGGCATATTTTCGGCTGTTTTCTTGTCTAGCTGTGAAATTTTACGATCGGCTTCGTCATTATCAACTTAATAGTAATTATTACGCCTTAAGTTGGAATATTTTCACAAATTTCAGCTTCATAGGTTTTTTTTATTATTTTTATAATTAAGTATTTTACAGTAACTGTTGTTTATAAATAAAAAGCAATCACATGCATTGTTTTGTTGAAATGAATTTTCTTAGCTGTTCGTGTGTAAATTAAATAGATTGGTATTTTTTTAAAACAGGTTTGCGTTTATTTGCATGTGTTACTGACGCATTGTTGGAATTTTTAGCCTTCAAGAATGTAGAACACGGCCGATTATTCCGCGACGCGATTCAGACGGAGAACTTCCGCGTGACGGTGGTGAATGACGTGGCCAATGCGGAATTGTCAGGCGCATTAAAGGTAATTATCCAAATTGCCGTTAATGCATTAAATGGCGTTTCGGATCAATTAAATGGATATTTAATGGATGAATTAAATTGTCAGTTAAACGCACATTTATTGTTGATGGTCTGATTGCAACAGAACATTGTGGCGTTCGCGGCGGGATTAATTGACGGACTGTATGGAGAAAAAGCCGGCAACACGAAAGCGGCGGTGATCCGACTGGGAATCATGGAGATGATCGATTTCGCCGAGAAGTTCTTCCCGGGCGGATCCCGCGAGACCTTCCTGGAGAGCTGCGGTGTGGCCGACGTCATTACGTCGTCCTTCGGCGGACGCAACCGCAAGTGCGCGGAGGCCTTCGCCAAACAGCCCGACAAGGTTGGCAAATTTGTTCTGGCAAAATATTAAATTTATTCGTGATTTTTAAGATTATTTTCAGTTAATAATCTGATATTTAATCCATTATTTTGTCTGTATAAGCTTTTATGATTTTGAAGTTATTATTTATTTATTTTAATCTATTAATGATAAATTGTTTTTCATTATTAGGTTGATTATTTTTTGGATTATTCCGATTGTTTCTTTTTACTTTCGATTATTTTTTGATTTTTAAAAGACTGTTTTATACGGCAGCTGTAACTAGTAGCCTTATTAAGCAGTTGACACGATGTTGTGTAGAAAAATATCGTAGTGCATTGGCTGTATTTAAGGGCAATAGGACGGGTAGATTCCGCCGTTCATGGATCGCGAATTGAAATGCCGTTAAATTAAAATCTTCTGGAGTGTTTCTGCTTTTTGTTTTCTAATAATTAATAACAATAGGAAGAAAATAAGTTTCAGAATTGGATAAGTTGAGCTGGTTGCATGCGTTGATCTTGTAATTTTTGGAAATAATGATTGTTTGGCTTTTCTACTTTTAATTCCTGTGCAGTTCGTTGTTTTACAGATGTTAATTTATTTCTTTTAAATTGTTCGCGAAAATGTCATAATGTTTGCTTTTTTTATGATTACTGATTATTATTTGGCGGGAGTAGATTTGCAGTAGTTTCTGCTGTAGTCATCGCTGGAAGCAGAATGGTAGAATTCAATGGTGATCGTTCTGTAAATAGTAAATACAGCGGAATTAGCTGACTTTGTAGTACGATGGCTATTACGTGGGCCTTTAAACCTGCACATATGCAAACAAATATTTTCATAATTACTCCCAGTTTGTAAAAAAAATTTTACACCATTACAGTATTATTTTTTAAATCGGTATTTTTAATTTTCTTCTTGGCTTCTAGTTTTGGTTAACTTCATGAATGTTATAGTTTATTGAAAATTTTGTTGTTTGTCGGCGCCATCGATAATTTTTTGTTGTTTTTCCAGCTGTAATTTTGCACGAGTGTGTAAAGTGCAGATCATGTTCTAATTATTGTAATTTTATTTTTAGAGATTTGTGATTTGCCTTGTTTACATTTGTAATTTTGTACAGATAATTTTCCAGTTGTAATCTCATTTCTGAAAATTTGTAATTGGAATTATTAACAGTGTTTGTAATTTTGTACAAATTTGTTCCGATCAGCTACTTTGTGATTGTAATTTCATAAATTGTCGTGTACAGAAAATTACAAACTAGTAATCTGCACTTTTTTTAATAATTATTTGGAATTTTTTACACATGATTTTCTGATGAACTCATTTTTTGATATCTGTTATTGGGTAGTTATTTTGTAATTCTGTGCACATTTGTTACGATCAAATACTTGTTAAATTGTAATTTAATGCATGCAAATAATAAGTTTATACTTTTTGTAAATTTGTACATTTGAAGAACTTTTATTTTTAATTTTCTGATAAATTTATACTTACTTTTTGTAAACTTGTATGTTGTAGAGCGTTATAAACTCTTTTTATTTGTACTTTTCTGGGTTCAGCCGTTAATTGACCCGTTGGGATGTATTTGTTTCTTAGACGGTGAAGCAGCTGCAGGACGAGATGCTGAACGGGCAGCTGCTGCAGGGCCCCGGGACCGCCGAGGAGGTCAACCACTTCCTGAAGGCCAAGGGCCGCGAGAACGAGTTCCCCCTCTTCACCACCGTCCACCGCATCTGTGTCAAGGAGATCCCGGCCAAGGAGCTGCTGGACCACCTCCGCAACCATCCCGTCCACAAGTGAAACACCCCCCGTTCTGGACGCGGACTGGTTCCCCGTTGTGTGACACCTTTGCGTGTGTTTTGAGGCCAAAATGTTGACGAATGTTTCGGGTGGCGAGATGTGTCCCTTTTCTGATCAAGTGCCCATGATACAGTGTCGGTCTGTTTTAAGAGTTTAGCATGTTCTGGTTAAATTATCGGGAATTTTGTAGGTGGTGTTGGGTGTTGATTGTGTTTAATAGTGGTGAAGTGTTGAGTGTTGTTTTTTTGCTCCCGGAAGAACTGATCGACTGAAATCAAAATCGTTTGCTACAAGTAAATTGATACTCGAATTAATCTCCGATTTATGCCGCATTTTTATATGTGTCGTGGTGGCCGATCGGTCGGTTGCGGATCAGACTGCTAAGCCTCTGCTTCCAAACGGCACATTTACAATTGAAAATATTAACCTCGTTACTAATTTATTTTTTTCTTAATTTGATTATTTAATTAATTATTATTACTTTTGTCTTTTTCTGTTTTATTGTTTTTTTGTAATTTTTCCTTGATTTTTTATTAGAAGTGTTGCAGACTCATGAGAGGTTTGTTTTATTTAAGAACGAAAAAATTTCAGGATAATGTTCATTGTTCGCATAATTCGGAAAAATAAACGATTTTTGATAAGAAAGTCATGTCCACGAGAAAACAGGTTACTCGGATGGCAATCGCTCATACGCGTTAGGCGATAATACTTAATATGTGTCTTGAAACGACCCTATCTGTATGCGCCACCCAGACAGTCAAAATTATCAGTATGGTGGACGGGTTAAGGTCGGAATGTTTGAGGTTAAGGTAGCCGCTCGGTTTACTTACTCTCATCTTCTATCAGTTGATCATCGAGGGTCCGCATTATCTACTAACGGCGTCTTCCTGTTAAAATAGCAATCCAGACATCCGGTTCGGCTATACTGTTGATGCTGTTCCGGCCTACCGCGTTGATGCCCGGGGAAATATCGAACTAATTGTACGAGTATTATTACGGCAAGGGACTGGGTGGCTCTGATACGGCCACCGCGATTGGGAAGTGTACAATTTTGGTACATGTTGTCTTACTGAATCATTGGACAGGTAATTACGTGATTTCGCTCATAGTGCCACAGTTTCGTCGATCAACGCAGGCAACACCGGTTGGATTAGGTATTCAAGTACCGATTAAAAGTAAAGACAAGCATGAACGGTTTCGGTTTCCGCTATTGGAAGCCGTACCAACTGATTGGGAACATTCGTTTCTACGAGTTTCTTAAGCTTTTTGGGGCTGTCTGACGGACATGCTTTGTGTGCTAATGACAATGCTCTACCTTATGCGGAACCATCGCTTAATTCAATACCCGGCAATTTCAAACCCAACCTCCCATTATCTATTACGCGTTTTCCTCATATCGATATTGCTGGCGTAAAGGCATTCCCCGCAACGAGACGGTCAGTACCGTATCGCAGCGACACGTTCCCTTGCCTTAATTGTAATAATAATTGGGAATGTTCCCTTAGGTATCAATGTGGTAGCCGTGACAGCATTAACAGAATCCTCGAACCGGATGTCTGGATTTGTAAAAGGTTAAGGAGCAAGACATTTGTTAGTATATCCGGCGACCCTCGATGTCATGCGATCTCACTGCATACCGCAGCAGCCGGCGCTAATTGAGTTATTCTTCCTGACATCGGAGATTTAAAGCGGCTGTGATTAAATATTCGCTGAAATCTGTTTAAGAAACGAGGAGACATCCGCTTCCGCAGCTCCAGGATGGAAGCGTTGTCCTTTCGGTGAACATGTAACGTGGCTTGCGCAACATGCTGCTGGGTTTTTGTTTCCGCTGTTATTCCGAGTTTAATGTCATTGCTAATAATGGTGGCGGGGATTGATAGCGACATGTTGTCTTGTTAGAAGCACCTTTACGGATTTGCACGCTTCTACAGATACGCTTGATCGTTGCAAAAAGGTTTTTTCCATTACGTATTGGTTCATAGCCGTACTTGTCGGCGTCTTTGCGAAAACGCTCGCACTGTGGTGTGGGCTTACGTTTTATCAACAGTTTACTGTGTTGAGCGGAGCGCAGCATGACTGCAGCTTTTTCGAAAGTTAATCACGCTGTTTCCGATCTTGGCTACTATGGCTTCGGTTCTTTTTCTGGCGTATGGATGATCTAAACGGATAACAAACTGAGGCGATAACCCGGTGTTTTCCTGATTCTGGTCGACGCATTCTTCGCTGCTTTGGTGACCTTATGTCCTTTGCCCAGCTACGCAGCTAAAAGCTCCCTCGAAGCGCTGAATAAACCTACTTGAGTGGAGATGATCTATCTCAACCGTTTAAACTGTTTTTGTGAATTGCTTCTTAAACCGTTTTGACCCGTTTCTTTAAAAGATCTTTAACCGTGGAGATAGATACTCTGGCAGAATGGTTCAAAATCGTTTTTTAAATCGTTTCTTAAACCGTTTTCTAAGCCAGATACTCTGGACCGCTTACGCAGCATCTTATAAATTAAGCGGCTAAACAAAAATTCATAATAATTATTGGCAGAATGAACAACACGAGTGCCAACGCAACAACCTCTCTTGTTTCCGCCGTAACACCGGCATGGGAGATGCTCCTCATCGGCATCCTAATTACCGCGGCCACGGTGGCCAACCTGCTCGTCATCATCGCCTTCCTCCGCGAAAGCCGGGTGCGCACCGCCTTCAACTACTACCTCTTCAACCAAGCCATCGCCGACTGCCTCTTATCCACCACCGACATGACTAGTTACGCCATCTACACCTGTTACAGCTACTGGCCCATGGGCTACACCGCCTGCACCTTTTGGCTGTACTGCGACAACCTCGGCTTCGCCATTATCCTGCAGAGTATCGCCGTGGCCTCCCTGGACCGACTGTGGGCCGTGACCTTTCCGCTCTCCTACCGCCAACACCACACCCGGCGCAAAGCGTGGCTAGCGATCGCGGTGATCTGGATTTTTAGTCACGTGATGCTCGTCCCGTCGCTCGCGTATTATCGATTGTATGTCGGGATCTTCGAGGACCCCGGGCAGTGTTATTGGGATCCGTTGCTGCAGCCGCAGTTCGCCAGTCCGTTCTATATCAACGCGGTGCTGTTCTGGGCGCCGGCGATTCTGACGGTGTTGGTGTATTCCATCACGACGCTGCAGTTAATTCGCCGCAGGAAATTGTTTCGGAGGTCGGTGCATGGAGCGGTCGCGGCAACGAGCGATGTGCGGCGTTTGAAGAAGGAGCGCCAAGTGTACACTTTACTCTCGCTTTTGCTTGGCGGATATCTTATCTTCTACACCCCGTACTATGTGTACGAAGCGCTATCTATGAGTTCCGGGTATTACAGTTTCAGTTTCAATACCACTACGTATTGGCTGGGATTCTGCGAGTCGGCCATTAATCCGGTGCTATTTTATCTGGGCAGTCCGGAGATGAAGGAGGCGGTACATAGGCTGGTGCGGTGTGACGGGCGGCGGTCGCCTAAGAATATCATCGGTCCTTCACGGTCGCTGCAGCGTAGTGCGGGGCAACTGGTCGGCCGGACAATATCCAGTTGAAAACGTGGGACGCATTGTTTGCATTAGTTCGTATATGATGTCGCGAAGAAATAACTGCACTCAAAACACTTACCAAGCGGCAAGCATTGATGGAAAAAAACTTTTCACTACTGATTGAGCAGCAATAATTTGAAATTGTTGTTGTAATTTATTCCAGAAGGAGGTACACCAATGTACAGCTATAACGATGCTTTGACTAACAACTATTTAAAGTTGAAAGTCGTTGTTTCGTACGCTAGAGTTGTTGATAATGCTGCAAAATGCTTCTTACGCAAAACCATAATAATTGTGAAGCGTTTTATGCAAATGCAAAATTACCATCAAAGTCCTTACCTCGTACAACAGGATGTTAGTGTTTCTGTTAAGTATGTAGAATAGTACCGTGCAGTGCATGTTTTTTGTTGGCAACGCTGCGTTGCTGGCTTCTGGTATAGATAAAAGACACATGATGTAATGTAATTAATCCTTCTTTGAATTCAGTTTCTGTATTGTTAAAGTTCTCGAACAGTTTTCGTGCAGAATCACACCAAGGTCTGTTATAGCGGTCTGTTACACCATGATCCATAATTATAATCTTTGGAAAGGTGACCAGTGTAGGTCGCATTATGTACCGGTAGAACATAAAAGCATGGAAAACCAGCCTTTATTGCATGCGTAGTGCTACTGCTCCTGTTGAAAGGAACGTTATCATCGATACGTTCGGTTATGGAAGCGAGGGCTTCCATATGAGTTTAGTGCAGCGGAACGGGACTGGGCAAACATTCAAATGAAGCTGTCATTAATACAAACCGCACGCCCATTCTGATGACCTGCATGACTTCGAGTCGTCTGCTATAACGACGGCATTCGTTTTCATACACCGCGTGCTAGTCAGTTCAATTTTAAATGCATCCGAATACCGTAATTATCGAATTTGCACTCCTATGGTGCAAATTTTCAAACGCCTTGGAGCAAAGGGGCTTATTTCAGAAAGGGGGCGTTATTTCAGGAGTGGTGTTACTTTTCAAACAGTAGGTTGCGTAGGGGACTGTGATATTTCAAACAACTGCGCATCCTGTTCTACTGAAAACTGAAGGCAATAATTACACTTACCGGTATTTCCTATTGCGAAACGTTGCGGACGGTATCCTGGAGCATAGCCACATTACTTTTCTTCAGGTCTACAAATTACCCATTGAAATGGTCTATTCAAATGGTCCATGGTCTATCCAAATACAACGGGGAAATGCGGTTTGTGTAATGGATACGTTCCCCGATCAGGATAGCATAGGGGAAGTTTTTGTGTTCTAAATGCCGTTTTCTCTGGTACATGATGATACTTATTAAAGTTCAGGTATTTTTTCCCCATTAAATCATGATAATTATTACGAAGCAATTTCCGGCATACCGATCGTTTTGTGGCTCTTTACATTTTAACGCCCTTCCGGATGAGGGCCTTATTCTTCCAACAGGTTATGGGAGGGGGCTTATCATGGAGGGGCTTTTATTATGGAGGAAGGTGTAAATTCGATAATTGCGGTAACTATGTTTTAATGACGCTGCTGCGTGTTATGGATGACAGTTTTTGCAAATTTTGGCTAGATTCAGTATAGCGTATACTCGTACTCTGTACTAATTACATCGCTTTGCTCGGACATAAGAAGAGTGGACTGGTTAAGCGTGTGCATTCAGGTTTATGCTCATTGCTCATCTTGTGCAGTTGTGTGACGTTCATATTTCCTTTTTCAGACGCTTGCGAT